CCCAGGAGCTGAGCATCCATGGGCATGAGGGACATGCGGGCACCAGAGGGGTGACGTGCTGTCGGTCCTTTAGCAAGGGTGGCTGTGGAAAAGTGCCGGTGGGAGAAATGGAAAAAGAGGGGAGCGGGAGCTGGCAGGAGTGTGGCTGGGAAGGGGACACGAGCAGGGCTGCGTGGGTGCAGGGACGATGGGGAAGCGGTGGAGGGGACTGGTGCTGTGGGGCCGTGGTGTTTTCTGGGTGGCTGCGCAGGGGTTAAGCCGACATTCCTGAGTCCGGCTGCTGGCCGGGAAGCCGGGCTGGCGATGGGGCTTGGGGTGGGTGGCAGGCAGCGAGGAGGGGGGCTGCCAGCCAGGCTAGCTGGGTGCCGGAGGCAGCCGGGCTGAGGCGATGGGTGCCTTTGTCCCACGTGGCCCGTGGGCAGCTCTGGGTGCTCCCGCCCACCCCATGGGGAGGCAACTCCTGGCCTCATCCTGGCTGCGGGGACTGGATCCCGCCCTGGCCCTTGGCTCACCTCTGAGTGGGGAATCACGCAGATGCTCGGGGAAGAAACGGGAATCGGGGGCACGCAGGGATTTGCACAGTTGTCACAGATTAAATTTGGCCATTGCGGCGAACGGGGTCTGCGAGTGAGAGGTGATAGCGGCGCCTCCGAATCCTTGCTGCCTGCTTGCTTTGCACCGAGCTCTCCGGTATAACCGCTGTGTCCGGACTCGCTTTACCTCTTCCTCTTTAAGCATTGAGCTGCGGTGCCAGGAGCTGCCAGATATAGCATGCGCGAGCTTGGCTTCCTCTGCCCGAGCTGTCCCTGCAGCCCCGGTGCCCCGTGTCCTCGGGGAGCCTTTGCTTTGCAACCCGTGGGGATTAAAAGTGGGTGCATGATTGGGGGGAAGGAAAGGGGATGAAGCAGGTTTGAATGAAATTTGTGGTTTCCTTGCTGGGGATCGCAGCCCTCTCCTCGCTGGTGGAGGAGCCGACCCTCGCTCCAGCCTCTGCGGGATAATGGAGCAATTGTTTCCAGGCCGGCATCCCAGGCTGGAAGGGTGAGGGCTGCCAGAATTACCAGCTGGCAATTCTGGCAGCCCTCGCCCTCCCGGCCTGGGATGCCAGCCCCGAGGCAAGGGGCTTGTTTGGGGTGGGTTTTCACCCCTGTCGGAAAGGGTCGTGGCACGGGGGGGTGGCAGTGCTGGTGTGGGACCCCAGTGTAGTGTGATGCCGGGGCATGTGTGACCTGGGTGTCATGGCCACCTCCTGCATGGCAAGGATGCTCTTTTGCAGCCTGGCTTTAGCGGTGTGGGGGAGATCCTGTGAGAATCGAGCAGGGCTGGGTTCTGATGTGGTGCTGGGAGGAAGAGGAGGAGGAGAAGCGTGGTGGGAGCAGGTGGACGGAGGCAGGCATCCCTGGTACGGAGAGCGTGCCATCCTGGTGGGAGCAGGGATCCTGGCTCTCCCCTGCCAGAGGTTCAACCTTAGGGAAGCATCTGTGCGAGGAGGATGATGGTGTGGGATGAAGCAGAGGAGGGAGCAGGACCCCTCACCCTAGCCCTGTGGATTCAGGGGTGCTCAGGCACCCCTTTGTGCCTGTGTCGGCTCCACTGGCCCTTCCCGCTGTGTTATCCCTGCTGTGGGGTGACATCCTGCTCCCTCCTTCCAGGCTGACACCCAGATGCAGCACCCGGGCCAGGTCTCCTTCAAGTTCATTAATAAGATGCAGTTGGTGAGTAGCTCATTTCTGGGGACAGAAGGGGACAGGGACCAGGGCTGGCTGGTGCACGGGGGAGTCCCCACATCCCCAACCTCCTCTCTCCTGTCCCCCTTCATGGGAGGCAGCCCAGGAGGGACCCGTCCTGCCTGGCCGGGTGGCTGAGTCCCAGCTTGGGCAGCCTGTGGGACCGTAGAAGGGCATTTTGTGGCTCCGTGCCTCAATTTCCCCAGGCAGAGTGGGACAAGTGGTCCTGCCTCTGCCCATCCAGTAACCAGTCTTGCTTTTTTTTGGTGGGGGTCATCACAGAATGACTCGGTTTGCTACGTGAAAGCTGCTTTTCCTTTGCTGGGCAAGATTCTGGAGCGGACAGAGTTCAAGGAGAACTCGTCCAACGCCAAGAAGATGCAGATGGTGCGCAGGATGTACAGCCGCATTGACGAGAACGTTGACCCCTGCATCAGGGAGGAAGATGACGAGGAAAGAAAGGTACGGTGTCCCCTGCCTTGTGGGGTGCCAGATCTGCAGGGCTGGGGGTCTGAGTCCTCATCCTTGGGTGAAATGGGGTGTCAGAGCATCCTGGGGTGAGTGTGTGGGCAGTACCTTGAAGTGGAGCAGAGATGGGGTGTGCACAGGGAGCCGTGGGGGGGGTCAAACCTTGCCCTGGGTGCAGCGTGGTACCCCATGGCGCTGCTGCCAGTGTCCTGCGTTGTCGTGGAGCCAACGCTAAGCCTGGGTCTTCCTCCAGCTCTCGCAGATGTGCTTCGAGGAGTTCACCACTTCCCCTTATGAGATGCTGGTGCTGGTGAAGCAGTTCTTCCAGGACATCAACCAGCTGCTGCAGAAACAGGAGACCTTCGAGAAGGACTGCAGCCAGGTCTACCGCAGGACCTGCTTGGGACCCGAGGAGGCCAGATCCTCACCAGGTGAGATGCTGAGGCTTTGCCTTTGCCCGACAGATCCGTGCTGGGCTGGGGGGGTGCTTGGGCTCACCTGCATGGAGCAGCTTGACAGCCGCGTGTCCCCATCCCTGGGCACACGCGGGTGCTGTGGGCACGGCACGTGTCTGCGTTGGTCCCCGTCTCTGTCGCTCGGCTGGTGGCCGTCCCTGCGGGGTGGCCTTGGCGGTGTGTCAGCGAGCTCTGTGTCTGGGGAGAGCTGGGGTTGGGAGAAGGGGCTGGTCACCCTTTGGAGGTGGGATTTGGGTGGGATCCTCCTGGAAACAAGGCCAGAGAGATGCTGAGGAGGGGGGTAAGGAGGCATCTCCATCGGCCCGGCTGGAGGCATCAGGCTCGGCTCCGTCTCAAAGCCCCAGTGCCGGGGTTGAGCGTAACACAGAAATGGAGGCGCTGGGACCCCTCTGCCACTGATGTGCTGCATGACCTCAGCCGTGTCAGTTCAGCTGCCCTGTGCCTCAGTTTCCCCTGACGAAGCCTTTGGGGAAGGTGTTGCCCGCCGGGGTGGAAGAGCCTGTGTTGCCGTCCATGCTTTTGTGAGCGCCCATGCTGTGTGTTTGCATGCCCGTGGAGGAGCCGTCTCGTTGCTGTCTGTGGCAGAGCTGGGCCATGTCCCGTGCCGTGGGGGATGTTAAATGCGACCGTCCGGCTCCTGCCAGTTGTGGATAACCCGTTGCCATCAGCTCAGGGGACCCGGTGATTCGGGTTTGCTTCATCCTGCCCGCTGCTTGTCATCTCTGTGCTGCTGTCCCTGCCTGCTCCCTGCCTGTTCCCTGCCTCACCTTTGTTCTCCCTTTTTTTTGGGGGGCTGTTTGACCCGCTTGCCCGGGGCTGCGGGGAGGGACGGGGATGCTGCCCCGACCTCAGATCTGCTGGCTGTGCCCCTCTCGGAGGCTGGTGACACCACGGCCGTCTCTTCTCTGCTTCTTTCAGGTGTGGGGACAGATCCTGACTGCAATTGCCTGTCCCCTGCCCTCCCTTCTGCCACCCAGCCCTCCCTCTCTGCTGCCACCCATACCGTCAGGGAAGTGGCACCCGCTAGCACCCAGATCCCTTATGGCCGCCTCCATGCCACCCTCACTGACTTAGACGCCCCGTCTCAGCCCCCCAGTAGCACGGACAGTGGCTCGGGGACTGAGGAGGTCTTGGGTGCCAGCGTAGGTGACACGGTGTTGGTACCGTCCCCTGTGAT